TGTATCAGTATGTGAGGAGTTTGAGCACTACAAATGACAAGTATCCAAATTATGTGGCCATGTTCGGTGATGTGCGCATGTTTCCATGGCGCGGCCGAGAAGAAGCACAAGGATTGGACCTGTGACAAGTGTCGTCACGGGGAGCAAAGAAGAAAGTCCTTGTACTCTCTTAGGACAACAACCTTGAGAATATCATCACAGTTTTGTTTGCGACCACCAACAGTGCCAGCAAATAAGCTACTATTCTCAAGATCATTTCCCTTGGCGGTGATATTAAACTTTTTGCTTTGACTCCGAGTTGCGACACCTGTCTCAGTTCCCTCCATGTGTGTCTTCTTGGTTGCCTTCATGTTCTCCCTAGCGTCGACGACACTAAGGATCCTGGCGATGAGGAAGAGGATTGTGGCGAAGGAGCGTCACCATGGTCAAACGGTCGCGGAGCTAGGTGAATGTAAGATTTATATTCTTCGTGCTATATTCCATTGATATATATACATAGGTATGAGGGAGCGAGCAAGCAGGCTCCAGTGACGCATGCCACAAGAACCGGCTAGCCATACGATGGGAGTCACCGATGAATGGTCGAAAGCCCTTGTCTAGACCTAGTTAATGAACCTACGCCAGAAAGAAACGAAAAGCCCTGCAAATAGAATTGAATCATTGAGGGTTTATCTCGTAGTGCGGAAGGGCTCATGCATGTTTTCAAAAGGTATACCGCCAAGGTTCTGATAATAGCACAAAAAGGTCATGACCATCTATGTTCCCGCACATCTATTTTGAATTTTTCTACTATTTGTTTTGATTTTTTTTGTTAGCATGGATGCAGATGAGCTCGGGTGCAGAGATGAATTTTCAAACATCTATGGCGTTTTGATACTTCTTCAACAGTTCTAGCAGTCCAACCTTTCTTCCTGGGTTTTACTGGGGTCCATCCGGCATTTCCAAGACGATCTACTCATCATCCAGCCGCTACAATGGCTGGAGCTGAAGACGACACGAGGATTTGTCGTTGGAGCACCCAATAAATCGCTCGTCGAGTTCCTGGTCTGGACGGCCAGATGCCTCTTCTACGTTAGCGTGGGAGAAAGGGGGGGGGGATCTCAAGTGTGGGAGAGGCAAAAGGCTAGGGCTCGATATCAAGTTCGAGCTCATTCGCGATGGTCATCTTGGTTGGCAGATCTACGGCTCCTGCAATTGCGGAAGCTAAACCAACATATAATTTTGTTTCCATGTTGATAGAATATGCAGATTAAACCAAATGAAAATGTTTGTCATGGTAAATTAGCAGGTGTAAGCAAACATGGAGAATATCCAGGGGCGTACACGATCGGTCCAAAAACTGTAGGAAGCAAATAACATGACTACATGAAGATGAAGCATAAACACAAGTATAGGTAGGCCGTCGTTTCTAATGCAATACCAAAGAACCCAAATGGTTTGCCGACATCACACAAAGATTATGCAATCCTGCAAATATATTTGGGGCAACTCAATCAAGACATCAGGAGAGAGAAGCTCAGGAGAGCAATTGATAGGAAAGGTTCTGCCCACCTGCCACTGCCACCTGCCACTCTTGGTAATCAGTTAGAGTTAAAGATCTGGAATTCAGGCCGCAGATTAAAAGACTACTCCCTCCGTTCCCAAATATAAGTCTTTCTAGATATTCCAACAAGTGACTACATACGGAGCAAAATGAGTGAATCTACACTCTACAATATGTCTACATACATCTGTATGTTGTAGTCTATTTGAAATGTCCAAAAAGACTTATACTCCCTCCGTTCCAAAATAGATGACCCAACTTTATAGTAGCTTTAGTACAAAGTTGGGTCATCTATTTTGGAACGGAGGGAGTATTTAGGAACGGAGGGAGTACTAATATAGCATGAGAGGACGATCTGCGACAGGAAAATGTAAATCACATTTCAACCAGGCCTACCAACATATTTCATAAATAGTACTTCTAAATTATTAATCTGTATTCTAAAGTATTAAATAATTAATAGTTCAACTCCTAAATTTTTAAAGATCCAGAATTTTGCAGAGAAGAAGCAACAAGATACAATTTCGTTGTCATCTCATAAACAAACAAATTGCAAGGGGGGGTATTGGGTTATGGAGCACATCCATGCCTTAATGAAAACACGAGTTCTGAAGCACACAAACCATGGAAGCAAAAGATAGCATTCACAAAAAACTGAAAAATATGCAGAATAGATTTAGCAATCTGCTCTCATGGCGGAAAATTTTATATAGGTGATAATTCATCCCATCGAGTAATATATCCCATTTTGGGAGCGTATGGAAAAAATATAGCATAATATCCAGCATTAGTATGTTCTTTCATAACGGTCAGTAGTAGAAGCTCGGCATAGTTCTGAAGATATATTTTTCAACACTAAAAAATAAATCCCATATAATGGAAGCCAGTTTGCATTTGTTAATGCCTAAAGTAACTCTGGTTTGATATAGTAGTATAGACTACAAATGTTAGTATAACACCTCAGATCAATCTAGGTAGAATGGATACCACGCTAAACCGAGAGTACTTACTCGAACCATTTGCTGCGCATAAATAATGACATTTATTCACTGAAAAAAAGATTGAGGATTGCATTGCAAACTGCAACGGACATCAGGAACATAGAGATACAGAGTCTGCAGATATACTCATCAATGATACTTGAAGATTTGCTGAATACTACAAAATAGCACGTTCTTGCCGTATTAGCATTAATGACCAACTTTGTTGTAAGATTCTTGTTTATTTTGCAGCTCTGCTTCGAGTAAAACAAACATGGCTATAACATTTAAGCAGTTACTGTAGACATCTTCACTTGGTGGCTGAAAGATTCAGAGTGAACTAATCAGATCAGATTCTGATTCAGAGCACACACACTAATTGATTGTTTACATGCATGGATCTTTCAATTGGTTACGTCCAACATGTCTTAAGCAAAAATGCACGAAGCTCAATCTACGAATTAACCAAAGCACGAATGTTGGTGGTTCATTCAACTTGTTTATTTGTTCAGGTTGGCTCAGTTGAGCTGACGAATCCAGCAGGCAGGCTGCAGCTACGCATGTGCCACCTTGCGTAATAACAATCTCTAGGACAACACTAGAAAGAAGGTTTACTGAAATTGCAAAATTCGAAAGGACAAAAGTAGGGGCTTCTTCACGCAAGGCATCAAGTCCACAAATACCTTCAGAATCACATATACCATAGCAGAGTCCGAGCGCCCTGCTTTGTCGATCTCCTGGAAGAACAAAAAGGGAACCATGCATCTGCATCCAGTTTCAGCACATCTTCTGAAAGAAAGAACGCACCATCTACATTCAGTAAATCAGTATGCTCCTATAATTCCACAAGCTAGGCACCAGAGAAGGGACACACAACAGATGTTCATTTCAAATCAGATCTCTTTGCGATTAATCTCCTTTGTGTTACTGCAAGCACACAGCTGAGATCTCATTTCTTCCAACTTCTAAAGCCTAACATCAGGAACAGACAAATATGGACATCCCAACCACAGCTTGGGTCTTAATTTGAGGTACACAACATGTATACTATTCCTATGTTCTAAGTTCTGCAAGATTCTATAATTATGCAATATCTAGACTTAGAGTTAACTAAATAGGCGACGAAGAGATGGCATTTGGTATAAATGAGAAAATTAGTGGGATAATCTCTTAGATGAGGTGACAGTCTTCATCCTTTCAGAGCCAAAAAAAAATGAAACATGGTAAACAAACAGTGTCCATTCTCTTTTCTCCAATGCCAGGATACACATCTTTAGAAGAGATCATAGCTGACACAACAAAATAAAATATAAAAGAGCATCCAAAAAAAGCAAATACTGATATGGAATACAGATGCCTAAGCATCTATGTACATAGTGCTAATATGGAATAAAATTAGTAATAAAAAGGTACGACAGATAAATGACATATCCGGTTTTAAGATTAACTTAACAAAAGTTCTGTTATATGAAATGTCCCCTGCTTTGCCTCTGCAGTACAAATACCAGGGCCTCCAAAATGCCCGTTACATAGTTCTACATGGATAAGTCGATAACAAAAATGCTACTAGCCAACTAATGCACTATTCAGTTCTGACATCAGAAGCCATATGAAAAATATATCAAACCAGTAGGCCATCAATCAAAGAAAGGGGAAAAACTGATACAAACTAGTGAGTAGTACACAATGACTTGCTTTCACAACAGTTTTATAAGCAAACCTACTGCTGGATGAACGAAGATTTTCATCTTAGAAGAACTAGAGCAAGCAACCAACATACTAGATCCAAACTGCATCCTTGGGAGTGACAAACATACTTTCATCCAGAGAAAATTTGAAAGTCCATGTCATCTTTTGCCAAAATGAGAACCTTCTTTCATGAAAAGATAGATTGAGGTGCACCTGAAAATGCTATGGTCATTTGAGAACACAAAGATACTTCAAAGTATTTGCAGAATGTCCTGCTCTCACTCTCTTTAATTCCATTAGTTCTTAGAGAGACTTTTTTAGCTCCATGAAACCACTGCTCCACTCTTGGACGCCATCCATTTCAAACGTAATGTTGTGGGGATATTTGTCAGAGAGTGCTTTGTTTTTTTCTGACATGGCTCCTATCTCGAGGTGGAAATGAAGGGTATCCGTGGCTGAAGCAGGTGCTCCATGGTTTCACAATGATTCCAGCAAATCCAATATGTATGCCAATGCGACCTTAAGAGTGCACAAGCTAGTAGTACGATGTTTTCTTCTCTAATTGAATGTCATAATGAGCATACCAATACTCTCAAATCAAATTGCCAATTTCATCCTAGACTAGCACCATCAAATCAGCATGTAACAAACATACTATAGATTATCAATAGCAGACAACTACAATTCAGTTAGGCCAAGAACACCAAATCAGGAATGAATAGCATAACACGGAAGGTAAAAAAAAATGTTGTGCCGTACTGTTACCAATTTTCATGTAAATTTGAATCTAGTCGGCACTTCCCCTCTGCAAGCGGCATCATAGTCTTCAGCAAGGTATGGTGCAACTTCCTTGTGAGGGGATATGTACTTGTCCACGAATACTTTCTCCATCACAATGACTGCAGTATAGTAGCTCCGGTTGTGATCCAGCAGTCCATTTTCCTTGAGAAACTTTACAACATAGTACCGGGGTATGATCCGGCCCTCCAGGCTGTATGTGAGCAATGCCGGATGATGAGCAATGTATGCTGGTTCAAACCCTGCCTCGGAGATTAGGAACTCTGACTTGCTCTCCAGCGTCTGGTTAGACCTTGTCAGCACGGATGGAAGCTTGGACAAAGCAATGCCCACCTCGGCATCAGACCACCTGAAGGCCTTCTTCAAGTGCTCCGCTTTGGCGGCGATTTTCTCCTTGCTGAGGAATTTAACAGACCGCATCGCGTGCCTGAACATCCTAGAGCCACGAGGCACACCAATATCTTCGGCATGTGCCACCATTGCCCGGACACGCTCTTTGTTGGAGGCGAGCAGCCATGGATGAGCGATGCTGAGCTTGGCAATGTCAGAGTCACCTAGCCCGCACTCTCGCAGGAAGGCAACATTGGGCTTGACCACTGTCTCGAGGTCGGACGAGAGAAGGCATAAGCCGTACCTGAGAGCAGGGAGGAAGTCCTCAAAGGAGCCGAAGAGGTGCAAGAAGTATTGCAGATTTGAGACGATGGATATACAGCGGAACTGGGCGCGGCTGAGCGAGGCGAGGCGCCCGATCTGAGAACGCGAGAGGCCGAGGCCGAGGCCGGTGAGCCCGACGACGACGGGGCCCAGGGTCCTTGGCGACGAGGGCGGCGACGTCGGCGCCGGAGAGGCCGAGGCCTGCGAGGAAGGCGAGGACGGCGTCGGGCTTGGAAGGGGACTTGAGGTGCGAGAGCATGGCGGAGGCCTTGAGGGCCTGGGGTCGGGTGAGGCCACAGGTGGCGACGAGGTACTCCTCCACCGCGAAGCTAGGGTTCGGGGAGACGGCGGGCGCGGCGGCGGAGATGAGACGGCTGAAGTGGGAGGCGGGAGAGGCGGATGGAGACGAGATGAGGTGGGTGAGGATGGAGCACCGGAGCCGGAGGAGCATGGCAGCGCGGCGGAGAGGCCAGGGAGATTTGGCGGCGGCGGCGGCGAGGGAATGGGGAAAGCGGATGGCTGCTCTGCTTCTGCTCGGTGGGGAACGGGGATCGCTCGCTCAAATTATATGGCAGCAGGAGACTGACGGGCGGGACCCACTTGGGCTGGCTGGGTTGAACAACTCTGGGTTTTCACATTTGCCACACCTTCAAAAGAATACTAGTTCGCCGGGCCCTAGGATGGTGGCGGCGGGGCTGTTTTTTCTCTCCCCCTCCGACCCCATGGCCTCGTCCTCCGCCCCTTCCCCGAGTTCCGGTCTTGGCGGCGCCGGCGGCTTCCATCGTCGGTGGCGGCGGCCTCCCCTCGGTGATGTCTTTCCCCTGGATGACGCTGGCGCTGGTGGCCTCCCTGGCTGCGGCTCCCACGCGAGTGGCTTCTGCTGGCCCAGATGGGATCTGGGACCTCGCCCGGCTGGATGTGGCGCTCTCCGTTCGGCCTCCGCGGGCGGCCGGCATGCCTTCTCCGCTGCGTCCACCCCCTCCCACCGACCCCCACCACCCTTACCCCCTGCTCGGCTCCGGGTCTGCCTCTCGCTATGGCGGCCGTGGAGGCGTGGGGTTGTGCCCGGCGGTGGCTGCTTCCTGTAGTGCGCGGGCCGGGAGGTTTGGCTACGCGTGAACTTCACCACCCACCCACCCCCTGCAGGGGTGGCTTCGGCACGGCGGCTACGGACCTGCGCCCTTCCTGCGTCCATGGCCGGCCGGCGCGGCTTCGGATCCAACACACCATGGAAGCTACGCTCTTTCCAGCTTCCTTGGCTCGTTGGCTCCTCGGCATCACCGCACCATCACCCTGCTGGTGCCCTTGGTTGGTCGTCCATCCCGGCGCATCTCCGTTTCTAGCTCGCTCCGGGAGCTGCGTCCTCTTCCAGCTCCCAGGCTTGCCGGCGCTCTGCTGCTCCGGTCTCGGTGGCCTTGATCTGCGCTTTCCAGATCCTGGTTTGTCCGGGGCTCTGGCCACCGTCACATCTCGTTGCCTTCCATTTCGCTCAGCCACGCAACCCCGCCCTCTAATGGAGCTCGCAAGTCCCGCGGCGCTCGGTGCCTTCTTCGGCATTGGGCGTGGCTCCCCTTCCTCCAGTCGCAATTTCGGCCTATACTCGACTTCCTCTTCTCCGATTTGTTCTCCAACGGCTTGGGATTGTTCGGAATTTGGCCAGGGAGAAATCCCCGCATTCTATGCTGGCTCTAGCGACACTTGGGGGTGTCGTTCCCTTCTTGGAGGCACTGCCATGGCCACTATCTGGGGCCCTCTTCGAGCAACAGGGGAAACCCTAGGTCTGGCTTCCCGGATCGGACGACGGCAGTGTCTCGTGTCGTTCTCCTTCCTGAAGGCGTTGTCTTGTTTGCTCGCGGCGTCCTCGGTGCCGACTTCGGTGATGTCAGTCGTCTAGTTATTGGTCGGATGTGTCTCTGGTTGGCAAGTTCAGCTGTGTTTTTCTTTGGGTCGTGTGCCTCATGTCTCTCTGGTTTGGGGCACCATGTTCACGCCTTTTGCGTTTGTGTCATGTGTTGTATCACCTCCTGTACTCATTCAATTTCTCCTATCAATGCAAAGATACGCAAGCTTTGCGTATTCCCGAAAAAAAGATACCCTCAATGATACGCTTGAATAAACAAACATTGAGCATATCCATGAATCATAGAACGCATGGCGCATGCTGACATGGATATTCTTAAACTCCATCTGTCTTGCTACTTTTCCCTCCCCTACGGTAAGGGTGTCGTAACTTGCCAACAATGCAGAGGGAGAAGATCCCGATGAAAAATGGCAACATCTTGGGTGGAGCTTGCGACGGACGGACAGCGGTAGCGGCAACAACATCGATGAAGAAGATGACGATTGAGAGAGAGGTTAGTGTTGCGTGGCAGAGCTTGCTAGCAATGTTGCCATAGCGGTGCCACTGGCGGATATATAATATACGTTGAGGGGGGTAAAAGGCGATGATGCGCCAACGCACAGAAAAGGAAGACATGGATAGCCTAGGACGACGGTCAAATCGGGAGTGGTGACGGACAGAGATGAAGGAAATATGCCCTAGAGGCAATAATAAAGTTATTATTTATTTCCTCATATCATGATAAATGTTTATTATTCATGCTAGAATTGTATTAACCGGAAACATGATACATGTGTGAATACATAGACAAACTTAATGTCACTAGTATGCCTCTACTTGACTAGCTCATTAATCAAAGATGGTTGTGTTTCCTAACCATAGACATGTGTTGTCATTTGATTAAAGAGATCACATCATTAGGAGAATGATGTGATTGACTTGACCCATTCTGTTAGCCTAGCACTTGATCGTTTAGTATGTTGCTATTGCTTTCTTCATGACTTATACAAAGTTCCTACAACTATGAGATTATGCAACTCCCGTTTACCGGAGGAACACTTTGTGTGCTATCAAATGTCACAACGTAACTGGGTGATTATAAAGGAGCTCTACAGGTGTCTCCAAAGGTAGATGTTGAGTTGGCGTATTTCGAGATTAGGTTTTGTCACTCCGATTGTCGGAGAGGTATCTCTGGGCCCTCTCGGTAATGCACATCACTATAAGCCTTGCAAGCAATGTGACCAATGAGTTGGTTACGAAATGATGCATTACATAACGAGTAAAGAGACTTACCAGTAACGAGATTGAACTAGGTATTGGATACCGACGATCGAAACTCGGGCAAGTAACATACCGATGACAAAGAGAACAACGTATGTTGTTATGCGGTTTGACCGATAAAGATCTTCGTAGAATATGTAGGAGCCAATATGAGCATCCAGGTCCCGCTATTGGTTATTGACCAGAAACAGTTCTAGGTCATGTCTATATAGTTCTCAAACCCGTAGGGTCCGCACGCTTACAGTTTTATTATGAGTTTATAAGTTTTGATGTACCGAAGGTTGTTCGGAGTCCCGGATGTGATCACGGACATGACGATGAGTCTCGAAATGGTCGAGACATAAAGATTGATATATTGGAAGCCTATATTTGGATATCGGAATCGTTCCGGGTGAAATCGGGATTTTACCGGAGTACCAGGGGGTTACCAGAACCCCCCGGGGGTTAATGGGCCTACATGGGCCATAAGGGAGAAGAGGAGGGCCGGCCAGGGCAGGCCGCGCGCCCCCTCCCCCCTAGTCCGAATAGGACAAGGAAGGGGGGCGGCGCCCCCCTTTCCTCTTTCCCCCTTCCCCCTTCCTTCTCCAACAAGGCAAGAGGGGGAAGTCCTACTCCCGGTGGGAGTAGGACTCCTCCAGGCGCACCCCTAGGAGGCCGGCCGCACCTCCCCCCTCCCTCCTTTATATACGAGGGCAGGGGGGCACCTCTAAACACACAAGTTGATCTTCGTGATCGTTCCTTAGCCGTGTGCGGTGCCCCCCTCCACCATATTCCACCTCGGTCATATCGTTGCGGTGCTTAGGAGAAGCCCTGCGTCGGTAGAACATCATCATCGTCACCATGCCGTCGTGCTGACGGAACTCATCCCCGACACCCTGCTGGATCAGAGTCCGGGGATCGTCATCGAGCTGAACGTGTGCTGAACTCGGAGGTGCCATACGTTCGGTGCTTGGATCGGTCGGATCGTGAAGACGTACGACTACATCAACCGCGTTGTCATAACGCTTTCGCTTTCGGTCTACGAGGGTACGTGGACACACTCTCCCCTCTCGTTGCTATGCATCACCATGATCTTGCGTGTGCGTAGGAAATTTTTTGAAATTACTACGTTCCCCAACAATGGCATCCGAGCCTAGGTTTTATGCGTTGATGTTATATGCACGAGTAGAACACAAGTGAGTTATGGGCGATACAAGTCATACTGCTTACCAGCATGTCATACTTTGGTTCGGCGGTATTGTTGGATGAAGCGGCCTGGACCGACATTACGCGTACG